TTACACTACTAGATAAATAAATACTAATAACTAAATATACTAAATATACTAAAATAACTATACTAATAAAATAAATATAAATAAGAATAAAATAAAATAAAATAATAAGAAATTATGAAAGTGGAGAAAACCCATGGTAACAACGTCAAGTAACTGAATATACAGTTAAAGATATAACCGGTATAGTAAGGTTAAGTGATGATAATTCAAAAAAAATTGTGTATCTAAAAATAAAAATTTTTGTGCCAATTGACACTAATATCAAGATAAAGATTGAAAATTGTGAAAAGAAAGATGTTGTATTTATCAAAGGAAAATTTATTACACCAGATCAATATTATATTGTAAAAATTTTTTTATTATTAACATGTATTTATTTTTATTTAATTATTAATTATTAATTAATTTTAAAATTAATTTATTTTTTTTAATAAATAAGGTTAATACAATATCTATAAAAATATTACACAGATTTATTTATAATAACATGTCAATTATAGGACTTGATACAGTAATAACTGGTCATATTATATAACAGGTCACAAAAAGAGAAAAAAAATAATGTACTGAAATTTTTGATACAAGAGTATCTTGATAACTGTGAGCAATGTGAAGTCATATTAGAAGTAATTTACCCTTCAAATAATAAATATTTATTCAATAAAACTAATATTATTAATACCAATACTAGATTCACAAAAGCAATTTTAACTAAAAATATAAATTGGATTTCTGTAAACCCTTCTATAAATAAATCTTCTGAAAAGTATATGTTGGAATTAGAGGATATTTCTATAATTACAGCAGCCAGTAATCCAATAACAAACCAATCAAACAGTATTAATTCATCTTGAATAAATAGTTCAAGAAGTTTATCAACAAGAAATAATCGAATAGCACAAGATACAATATTAAGAATTTTCAGAAGGTCACACAAAATACTTAATTAAATGCTAGCAATAGAGATGTGAGGCGTAATACGAATTGAGTTAGGAATTTAGTCAAATTTAATTTAATTAATTAAGCCAGGAATTAGCCTTGGCGCAATTGGACGTAATGGTTAAATTCTGATACAAAAGTTAAATACTGACACAATTCTGATTGACTAGTGCAAAGGCTAAATATTAGTGCAATTTTAATTAGTTGGTGTAAAGATGTAATTTTGATTAGCTGATATAAAGATTAAATTTTAGTGTAATTTTGATTTGTTAGTATAAAGGTTAAATGTTA